TACAAGGTTTAATTCTATATGAGCGATTACATGCATTTGGATAAAAAGATTTTCGATTAGATATTTTAAAATAGGCTGCCCGTGTAACAATTAGTGATGTGAAAAGCAAAGTTATTAAAATTCTATCAAATATACAGATTAGTTCACGACCAAAAGGACGAAAAATGAATGATTTTAAAGAGATGACTACCTTACTTAAGTTACCAATTTCACGTTGAAGTAGTTGGAACATTTATTCACTATTAGTTTAACATAAGGGTGCACGATAGACTTACCTCCACGTGGTGCATCTTGGGCAACGTATACTCATACGGCAAAGTCTATTATTCAGCAGTTGACTTCTGACTTCAAACTACCATGACCCCACTGTATGTTAAATTCGACCACTTCCACAGTACTCATCTTACCTTTTCTCTGCCTATGTGACTATCTTTCACTTTACATCTGTGAATTACTCTTCTTCCCCCCTCCCCCTCTCGAATTTTTCTCACTTTGATGTTCCTCCCCCCCCCCTCTGTGAAGTCCGAAGTCAGCTAAAGAGCTAATGATGACTATCAATATCCCTGCCATTCTAAATAAATAAATATAGTTTAACATTTCGAAAAACCAATGTCACCATCCATATAGCAAATGCCACTAAGTCAAAATCTTGCCACTCTTGACAATTCCAAGAAAAATGGTACAGAGTTAGTCCCCAGTAATACCATTTTAGCATCAGGACAAACGAAATAAGAGACTACACCCTTCAAAATTACACAATTAATGGCACAAACTACGTACTTATGTTTGCACACGACATAATGGAGACACTGTGAATTGAGAAGCGAATACTCACACGAGAAATGGAATATTTTCGAGAATAAAAAAGAAAAAATGCCACCTTGAGTGGAGACCTACATTTACAAAACCGTATTTTTGGGGGTGTCAAGTTGTACTGGATGATAAAACAGCTTCAAAAGAAAGCAATTTTAAAGTGATGCGAAAGAAAGACGATCATATGAGAAAATCGAAATTTTTTCGATAAGTTGAATGGTCATCTTGTTATAAAATGTCGACACAGCCTTTCTAAATGCGGTAAGTTTAATAATAATAAAATAGTATGCCTTAGAAAATTTTTACTTAGACATAAATCATTACCTAGACGACTTAAACTCATTTCGGGTCCTGAGAATTGCAGCGCGAAAAAAATACTTATAGTAAGAAGCTTTTCACATGAAATGTGTGTGCTTTAGTCTTAAAATGGCAAAATGGAAGATGTGGAAAATGTGCAGAACTCGTGAAAATAACATAATTAGTGACAGTTTAATACTTGTTGAGAATTTGTTTAGGAAATTACAGATTTACAATTAATTCTATCAAAGATTTGCCTTGGGTCATATTCCTAAAGTAATGTACTGTAAATAGCAAATACGTTCCTTAGATGTGCTTTCTGGCATTAGTCCATAAGGCAATAAGCCGCGTAAACCAATGCATCTATTTTAATAGTCAATCAATCAAAGGGTTAGATCAAACCAACAATGTTCAAAGTCTTAGCATCGTAGGAGTCAAACGAATGCGTAAACACTCAAAAGTTATCAAAACATATCTGAACTTCGTGTACAGGCAATTGCAAAACAACTAATTGTGTCCGATCAAAAGATAATTTGCTTTCAGAGCCGGGAATTTCAAACCGTCTGCTATCTTCATTAAGCCAAGGTGGAGAGAGTATTCAACAAAATCTTTCCTTATTTAAATAAGGAGCAGGTGTGATAGAATTGACCAGTGTTGTGAACAGGAAATCTTGAAGCTTTGGTGTACATTTTCAAGAGATGATGGACTGAGACATGAATGCTGGACAACTAGAAACAAAGTTCTTCTTTCTGATTTCCGTACTATTTTGGACCATTCCAACGGAAGTTTAAACATACTACCCTCCAAGTAACGAAAAATTCTGAATTAATTATTGTTTTAGTTAAATACAGCCCTGAAGAATGCAAGGTAGGACTGAAATATTATTAGCATTATTATTATTATAAATGGCAGGCATTTAGCTGACATCGGGCTTCGAAGAGGGAGGAAAATCAAAGTGAGAAAATTCGAGAGGGGGAGCAGAAGAGTGTTTCATGGATGTAGAGGAGACAGACAGATAGACACAAAGGTAGAGAAAAAACTTGCGCAATTTCATATCTTGATTGAAAGTAATTTCAGAAAATTGTCATCCAAAGCGCAGAAATACAGGTGATGTTTTTTTCGATTTTGGCTTTCATAAATAAATCTACGACTGTAGTAAGCATGCTGCAACTTCATTTGCTTACTTGGTATATGGGAAAGGATCCCAAATATGGCACAATTAGAGATAAATTAAACTATTTTGACAATTTTTTCAATATAACTTGACTTAAGTTATTAGTACGCATGAAAAAAACAATTTTGATTGAAGCTGAATGTCAATGCATGAAACTTTAAAGATTCGATACACAGTGGGGAATGCATGGTCTTTAAACTTGTTCATAAATAAAAATTAGCAGCCTTCATGTTCAAAAATATGCCAATCATGAGTGAAGTTGAATATAAAGGAGAATAACAGGAAATTGTATCGGATAAACTCACAAATTCAAAAGATCTTTACAGCATGAAATAATTTGTAAATCTAAAAATATTTTTCTTGCAAAAAAGTAGAATCTAATATAAGGAATATAAGCAAAATTATTTCTCGATATTCTGATTTGGAGTCATAGTACTCATGTGTTAATAGTTATGGAGATAAATATGAATAAACTGGTAGCCAAAGATCTACGAAAAGACAGCTACAAACCCTTTTCTAACGAAAAGGAAGAAATGACTGATATTTAACCGTTATAGAGTAAACAAGAAAAGTTAGATCGATTAAAAACAGATTTGACACACAAAAGTTAAAACAGCTTACTTGGCCCAATTCTTCAAGAATATCTGAGGTATTAACCAAAGCCGGTTCATCAATTTCTCTATCATACATCTGGATATCCCATCCAAAGAACATTGATCCGAAAAATTTCTGGAACTCAATGGTCACATAGAGAGAGATTGGGATGATGTAATTGAAAAGCACAAGAAAACCCAAGAATTCCTGTGCAACAACCCACGTTGTCGGTTTCGCTAGAGTAATATACCAAGCATTTTTTGGACGTAGAGAAAACTGGAGGATTGTATAGAGAATAGATACACCTATTAGGAATCCCAAAATGAAGACTAGAAAGTTATTTAATTGTCTTTCAACTTGAGAGTATTTAGTCTGCTTTCCTTTGGAGTTAAGGGACATCTTCGTATCAGAACCAGTATACACTGCAACTCCATATACAAAGTCGGTGTCTTTCAACCTTGCACCACGTAGGAGAAGACAATCGGGACCTAAGGGCTCAGATGACTCAGATCCATTAATTCTGACCGTAATCTTGCCGTAGAATTTGTAAAAGTCATCAACAGGTTGTTGGCAAACGATAGTACCCTCTAACTGATTTGACAATGCTTCTGGAGAATCAAGGTGTTTGGTAGCAGATATGGCGATAAACCGTTTAAGATTGGTTTCCCCATCTAAACTGGCTGTTGTGACATAACATTCACCATTATTTTCACTGGAGCTCAGTAGAACTAGATCGCATGGAAATGTTTCATTTGCAGTCATTAAGACAATATCCCCAACAACAATTTCAAAGGCCTTTTTGTCAATAAGTTTACCATCCGTTCCAACTATTTGAACCGGGGCGTTGTTTACTTCTCTGTCTGCACGATGACGAAGAAAATCTTCATACCCCTGTTTGAACATAGTAAGTAATATCACAAAACCAAGAGGCAGAATTGAAGTGACTGGTGAAACAGGAGAATCTGTAAATAGTTGGACAAGGGCAATACAAAGAAAATAGAAATTGGCAATGCGCTGTGCTTGTTCTTCAAGATTTTTAAATACAAATCCGTACCAAGTATAGCGTGACGTACTGATTTCATTATTTCCGTAGAGTTTAAAAAGCGAATATGGTTCTGATACAAAAGTAGATTGGGAAATAGGGCCAACGGGAATTTCACGACTCTCCGGCCAGGGAGGTTTCCTGATTCCTAGCTTGATTTGCACACTTTTCCAGCACTTGATCATCTTCTACTCAAAGCAACCAATGCGCGGATTTATTGGGAAATGGTGTTGGAAAAGATAGAATAATTTCGTGATGACAGTATTTATGATGCGGGTTTAATAAGGGCGAAAATTTACGTCCTTGAATTAGAGCATAAATCTGTCGTTACAAACAAGGTGGAATGTTCCATCATTTGAGCGCACAACTTTATAGAATATAACTTTAGTAATTGAAATTTATTTAATTTATGCAATAAATAAAGAATTAAAAGCTATAGTATAAGATGAGTTTTGTAGTTTTTATGTTTGAAATACATAACTGGGTTATTAAAATGAGCTCAAGCTAAGTAATTTGAAAATCTATCTTTAAGTTTTGCATCGTTTCATACAAATTTACATACAAATTAAACAAATAGATCTTACTTCTTAATATATTTCATAGTAGATTTGGCCTTTAAAAATATTCGAAAGTCGTTTATTGACACCAAAATTATTTCTCAAATAAAATAGAACTTTTAATCTTGCTTTTCATTAATTTTGTCAAGAACAAACTCCATTAAAATGTATTTTATTATTTCAATGTTTAAAATTTTACTCATTATAAACAGATGGATCAATAAAAATTCTCAAAGTGTGATTGCTTATGTAATTTATTTATTACAACCTTGGCGAATATATAGTTAAGTTAAATAAATCGTATGTCTCGAACCCGTTAGTACTTCTAGTTACTTTTAATTGAGTTAAAATACTCTGAGTAAAGTGAAATGTGGAGTAATGCAAATATGTGTGCAACAACCCGGTCTTTTCAACCTTTTCATTAATTACCTTGCTCATATTTTCAATCTTGAAAGTATGCTTACTTTCGTATTTTTTTGAATTGTAGTTTAATTTGTTGTGGACGGGCTACTGAATGAGGTGTATGTACTTGCTGGCACATCTTTGTAAATTCTTCCATAAGGAGACAAAGCAAATTAGTTTAGTGTTGTCTTTGCTTCCGCAAAGCATTGTAGATAGATTTAAATAAAATAGTAATGTTCTCAATTTATAGGTTTTAACATGAATCAATTAAGATCCAATGAGTTAACTAGAAAACGTGATTCAAAATCTATTCATATAATTCGCTTTTGAAAACCATTCTCCCCGCTGTATAATGATCTACACTATTATATTATCAATTACTAAAAATAGTTTTCAATTACGCAATATTTAACGATCTGTTTTTTCTTTTGGACACGATTAAGGGAAAGTAATAGGAGCAATCTGATACTACTTCAATACAAATCGGTTCATGCCAAAATACTATAATGCCTAAATTTTCCTATCGAGAGATAAATGCTTTCTTCAACATCGAATAGATAATGCAAGCAAACTTATTCAAATAAATGTGAATTTAAGTTTGGAAAATAAAGCCATATGCATGTTAGAAGTATGTTAGTTAAAAATGTTATTTTCGCATATGTGGAGTATTCGCATTTTATTGATAGTTGGAAGTGGTTCATAGAATTGCATTGAAAACGAGTATAAAACAGATTAACTAGGAAAAACATTTGCATGATGAGGAAACAGTTAGAAACATGAGTGTTTAAGGGTTTATACAAAATAGCTTCCAACACATAACTGTCAACATAAAAAGCAGTACTTCAATTGCTCAATAAAATCGCAAATTTCAGTTTTTAATAGGTACGGACTTTGATATCTATATCTTTTACAAATATATATGCATATTTACATATAGTACATGATTAGAAAGCAGGGTTGGCACCATAAATGATCCTTAATTTCCAAAAATTATACTTTGGCTTATTTGGTAACAATCCTGCAAAATAGAATTAATTAAAAACATTAATTCAATACTTACAAATAAAAATTTTGTAGTTATAAGTTATTCGATTAAAATTTTTGATATTTTTCTGAACTTCCAAGTTTAACCTAGAACGCACAATTAAATCAATGCGCAATTTAATAATTCGTTCTTGGTGGCTATATCCTAGTATTAAATATGAAGTCCTTTAAAACGGCCTTAATTTCTTTACTACCAAAATCATTAAAAGATCGCTTTGGATTTTATCATGATCCTTACTCAGAAAGTCGTTTAGTTCCTGTTGGGCCTCTCTCAAGATCCAAACTCGATACTCAGTCACTGAATCATTTGCGAGTATATGGTAATAATAAGATTCGAACCTCAAGGTATGAATGGTATTCTTTTGTTTTTCAAAACATCTATGAACAAGCACAACGAATCGCTAATTTTTATTTCGTATGCATCGCGGTAATTCAATTATTTATTGAAACTCCAGTCAGTCCAGCATCCTCCATTCTACCTTTAGTTCTTGTGATTTTTCTGACGATGATTAAACAGGGTTATGAAGATTATTTACGGCACAAAGCAGATCGGGAAACAAATAACAGACCTATCGAGGTGATTGATGAATCCGGTCTTTTAATAACGAAAAAATCATATGAACTCGTGGTTGGTGATATCGTTCTAATTTGCAATGGTGACACGCTGCCTTGTGATATTGTCATTTTGAGTTCCAATGAATCATCAGGGGAATGCTATGTTACTACTGCAAGCTTGGATGGAGAAACTAATCTCAAACGATTTTATGCACCCCCGGCCACCCGAGAAATCGACAGCCCATCACATTTTGCTGAAAAACTGAATGCTACCATCATTTGCCAACAGCCGGTTCCCGATATCTACGAATTCATCGGGAAATTAGTTGTCACTGATCTAGAATCTGGTGATGAAACAAATTTTCCTCTGAATAATGAATGCCTTCTTCTGAGAGGCGCCCGTCTTACAAATACAGACTTTGTCTATGGATGTGTGGTCTATACTGGAAACGACACCAAAATGTCTCTAAATGCTAAAAGAAAGCAAACCAAATTTTCCCAAATCGAACGCAAGCTAAATGTCTTTTTACTCATTTACTTTGTTGGTTTAATTTTCCTGTGCATTTCGTTCACTCTCTTGAAATACCTCTTAAATACTGATGCTTGGTACATAAGTATTCGCAAGATTAAGACCTGGTATGTTGTCCAGGATCTATTTGCGTTTATTGTTCTTTTCAACTATGCCATTCCAATTTCATTATACGTCACGATCGAGTTCGAAAAGTTTTTCGGTTCACGATTCTTTGGTTGGGATATGGAGCTCTATGACTCGGAGATTGATGAACGAGCCTTGGCAAATACTTCAGATATTCCGGAAGAGATGGGACAGGTATGTACCTATTTAATATCACATATAATAAACAAAGTTATATTAAGTGTCTAATATTTGTTCAAAAATGCATTTGAAGAAGTTGTTAAATAGACATAATCCTCTGCATTTCGTTAGGTATATTATCTCCAAATTTAATATTTGATGAAACTGTCAAACTACATTAAGACAAATTCGTCAAGTCGTTCTTTTAATTTATTTCTGTGTTAATGGTGATAGATGGCTGCCATTTAACACTAAATCATGAAAGGTTGGCGTTAGACCTTTTCTGCAAATTGCAAAACTTGTATTTACATTTTAATGAATTATTTCATTATTCCAACTATGTTAGTGAAGTATTTATATTTCGCTATCCAAAGATGCTTGTTAGTATCAATATATAATTCTTAAGTTCAGAAATTAATAAGTAACTTTCTAAGCAATTTACTTTATGACACAATGAACGGCTTTTGCTTCCACCTTTCTAAAATTCATATTGCAACGGAAAACGCGCTGTGACATTTTACTGGAACTTAGTATTAATAAATTTTTGTAGAGACCAATTTATTATTTATGATTAAAACAACGACAAAGTAAGCTATAAGTATAACGTTGACTAGACTCGATTTTGTGGTTTTGACTACTTTCAAAGAGTCCTCGAATTTAGTTTAAAATGTAGAAATTGACCCGTAAAACGACATAATCAAGTTGACTCAACTACCATGGAGTTTCACTTTGTTTATGTCAGAAATTTAGCTAATTAAAGAGCATGTGATGACAATACAGATATCAAATTAAGCTCCGTTGGCTTCTTGGGAAGTGAGCAAGTTGTAAGAAGTCCGTAACCTCTGGGTTTGCATAAATTTAAACATTTGATTTGTACTTTCATTTGGAATAGTGATTTACTGTATAATTGAGTCATTAATGTCACTTTCTAATCAATTAAAAACTTAGCGTTTTCTAACATCCA